GATAGATAGATAGATAGATAGATAGATAGATAGATAGATAGATAGATAGATAGAAAATTATGCATGCACGCACACATGATATGACACGGAGAAACAACACAGTCTGGTTCGGATCCATACATGTACATGGCAAGAGAAACAAATCTTGCAAGTTTACCAGACGGATGGCTTCGGGAAGAAAGCAGTTCCAGAATCTGGAAGTCCTGCTAGAAATACTTTGAAACCTCCTCCCGTGGACTTGGTAATCCATTCAGAAAGACTGGGTCAGACAGAGACTCCAGATAAGCAAGCCAAAGGCTGACAAGATTAGCTTCGACAAACACTTAGCGTTTGCATTTCCCCTTCTGCCTATAGAGCAGGGGTGGGCAAACTACGGCCCGCGGGCCACATCCGGCCCGTTGGTCTTTTTAATCCGGCCCGCCGAAGATTGGTACAGAATTAAGGTTTGATGTGAATGATTGAATGATTGCATTCATTTGATTTTGACTTGTAATGACAGGCATTTCGACACCAGGTAGCGCATTAGGCGCAGTGACTTGATTTTGAGGAGATTTTGCAGTTTTTTATATGTATCGTATCTTGTGCTGACCCGGCCCGTCTGTCAAATTTTAAAAGTCAATGAGGCCCCCGAGCCAAAAGGTTTGCCCACCCCTGCTATAGAGCCAGCCATGACCCCATGGGAGTCTGACAACAGCCAATAGAATACTAAAAGGACATGTTCTTGCACAGGAACAGGAAGCTCAAATACAAAGGCCAGAGAAGGTATAAAAAACCCACCCACTCTCAACTCCGTTTGGTCAGTTGTCCCAGAACTGCACGCTGTGGTTCTGTTCATAAACTGACTTTCCTAAGCAGCCTCCATATTTGATTCCCGGCTTGGAACTGGACCTGGATTTTTCTTCCAACAGTGGACGTCCGTTCTTGACTAGGAGCAGGTGGAGTAGCAGCCTCTCCCCGAGGCTGCTTGATCTCCAGGATCCCTTCCAGCTCTATTCTGATCGATCGATCAATACCTCTACCCGAGTCAAGAACGCTATGTCCCTCTCTCTCTCTCTCTGTCTCTCTTTTCTCTCAGGTTCCGTTCTTCCATGGTGAAAGATTGCATCCGTGAAGTCTTGAAGGAGGAGTTGGCCAACGTGCAGTACAACCCAGAGGAGATCGGAGCCCAAACCAAAGTCTTATCTGAACTGATCCGGGACCGGCTGAAAGGTCTTCAGATCCACCGGCCTTTGCAGGCACACCCCCCCAAGGACCCCCCCGGGCTTTCTCCCAACGGACCGAGGATGGCTCGCGTGATTTTGATCCCAACGAAATGCCTTTTCCTTTCCCTTTTTTTTTTCAGATAAAGGATTTCACCGATATAAAATAGTGGTGCAAGTCGTGATCGGAGAACAGAGAGGCGAGGGAGTGAAGTGAGTTTTCCTTCAGTTAAATGATTCTACCCCGACCCCCAATTTAGGATTCTTTTGTCCTATTGGGTTACATTGCAGCTGGGGGGGGGGGGTGTTCAAAAAATTTAGGTTTTCTGCCCGGTTGCCAGTGGCGGGATTCAATGTTTTTTACTACAAGTTCTGTGGGCGTGGCTTGGTGGGCGTGGCAGGGGAAGGATATACTGCCACATCCC